TATTGGAGCAGCCGTTCCCCTTCCTCCCCTTCCTCAGCTCATCCAGTAGTCCAGCAGCTGTTGACTCAGGGTCACTGCCGAGCTGGAGGGAGGGGGGAGGGGAGATTTGTTATTGTTATTATTGATTTTCTGCCATTAAAGTCTGAAATATGAAAACTAGCATCAGACACCGTACTACTGCGTGTTAAAGAATTAAAACCAGTTCAGACTGGTCCCTTTTATTCACCAATTGTGTTGATCATGGGCTGGAGTGGCGACAGGAAGCAATTCTTTTTCTACCAGTTATCTCGCTCTGCAGTTCCCAGCCTTTTTTTCTCAAGGACTGGCCGACCATATTTTGAAAACAAAACATGTTTTAGACATTATTGTGTTAGTACTGGAGTCTTGAAGACATAATATTTTGGAATACTGCTTATCAGTTATCTTGAAATGGAAAAAGAAAATAGAAATGACATTCTTTTTGAATGAAGTACGTTAGCAAAAAAGAAGTACATTTCCCACTGTGGCCCGTTAGCAAATGACTTCTGGACTGGTACTCGTCCGTGGACTGGGGGTTGATTGTTTTTGGGCCGCGGCACATATTCTTCATTAGAAAGACTCCATGGCACACCACCAAATAAAATATAATAAAATGTTGTAATAACCTCCTAGGTTAAATATTTCACTAAAATCTCGCCTGTTTAGTTGAAGACAACACTGATATACCCGCAGGAATTGAAGAAAGACACTCACAAAGATCTTCTTCAGAGAACAGCTCTGATTCTCTTTTTTCAGTTTTCACAGCCATTTGCTGCCACCTAGCATTAAGTATTTAATTGTTCTGCCTCCCACACATTGACAAACGGAGAAAAAGTATTTGCAAGATATAAATGTTTTTTTCAGACCAATTAAGTGACATTGGGTAATGTTCCGCGGCACACCTAATGATCTGTCACGGCACACACAGTGGTTGGGAATCACTCAGTTGATAATGCATATGTAACACAGCGTCTCATACATGTTCATCTTGGATGTGGTTTTTCTGATTATTTTTTTCTTTGAATCATTCAAAAGGTTTCCTTTTTTGTTTTGAAGTTTGAAGTTTTGGACTTTTTTAACTGTTGTTTCTGACTTTTGCAGAAGACCCACAGGTAGAAGAGAGGCCGACTGATTCCAACAGGGCTCTCCGACCAATGCCACTGTGACCTTGTTGTGTCCATCACTCTTAGTCATCTGCAGGTGTTCAAGCCCTGATTCTGATTCTGACCTGAAGGAGATCTTTGAGTCTGGACGGTGGAGCGGGGGAGAGTGTGTGCTTCCTGTTTTCATCAGCTGACCTCCACTCCACACAGAAAGGTTGTGTTGTGGTTGTCAGGACATCAGCAGTGCACATGTTACAGACCGGGGCCTCTCTTGACTTTGCTGCAAGTGTGTCTCTTGTCTCCCTCTCACATACACATGCACAGAGGTGTGTGCGTACAGGGACACACACACACACACACACACACACACACACACACACACACCATGCTGGCAGCCGCCCTATTCGTCAGTGTCTCCCTCATTCTGCCTCCCTTCTGCCTGCAGATTGGAGGAACGAGGGAGCGGGGGAGGGCCAAGTGAGAGGAGAGTTGCGAGGCAAAACGGCTGGTCACATGAGCAGAGATCTGTTTACAAACCCAAGGCAAGAGCAAGGGGAGGAAGGGACGGGAACGGCAAACTGCAGGCTCTCTCTGAGCACCATTATGGACTGAAAGAGGAAGAGGGGGAAGCCTGCCACGACAAAGACAGCTGGAGGTGGGACAGACACACAGACACACTTGTGCACACACAACGCCTTTGTCTCTGATTTTTTTTTTCTTTCTCCCCCTCAACTGAAGGAGCAGATGGTTGGAGGAAGAGTAGGACTCCCTCCCCTCCACACATTCACAAACATACACTCGTGCACTTGCTGACACACAAACACACACTCACCAGGGACACACCGAACCCAACCAGGGGGTTGTTGACGACCGCGCAGAGCTGTCCTGACTTTGTTTGGTCTTTGAAGGAAGTGAATCTCAGCCTGTGACTGTGAAGGAGGAGGACCAACCACTGCAAGATCTGAGGAGTGGAGGAGGAGACAACAGAGGACAGGAGTGGGGGATGAGACTGGTGAAAATCCTGGGTTACAAAAAGCAGCTTTAGGCAGAAGACAAAACACAGACTAATGCCTGATGATTAGCCTCGGTGGAAGAGGACGGTCATTTTGAATGGTGGACGTCATTGAGCTGAGTGAGAGGAAGAACCTGACGAGACAAAGTGAAGTCACAGAGGCCTCTGCTCTGCTGGATATGTAAGTATTTCCTGATACCAAAGCAGCCTGGCTTGTTTATGACATTGTAACAGAGTGAGATTCAGCTCCGCACAAGAACAATCTGCCGAAAAACACACGGCATGAGGCATGAGACGCACGGTCAGTCCTTGTCAACAACATTTCTTTGTCTTCCCCTCTCTCTCTCTCTCTCTCTCTCTCTCCTTCTCCCTCTCTCTCTTCTGTGATGACATCATTCTGGTCGGGATCCAGGAGCACATGAGGTCTCGGTGCTGGTCCAAACACCAGTCCTAACATCTCCCAATCATTGCTGCAGAGTGATTGATCCAGATTTGAAAATCGATCGGCAGCACGGAGCTCATCTGACAACGCTGCAGCTTCCAGGAAGTTGTGGAATCTGAGCAAACTGAAACCAGCACGGTTGTTGTTTGGAGGCGTGAGAAGAGCAGCATAGGAGCAATCCAGGTCGAGGTGAATCAAGGCGCCACACACATTCAGAATCTGGAGCTCTGGCCCTGGAGCTTGGCTGTCATCCAGGCTTCTGCTGACAGGGCCTGAATTTACTGCTGCTGCCCTGGGAGTCAAATTTCATGCAACTATTCCAATGGTGCAACGGTAAGTGAGTGGATTTTTCTGTCATCTGCCAAACAGACAGCAGTCAAGAACACATGTACTTACTTGCACCCTATAAAACTCTGGAGCTCAGTTGTTGACAGCGAGCTAATAGGACACACCTAATGGATGTGCTTCAGAAACGATCAATTACTCAGTACATTTACATGCTCAGCTGATTGGATCTGCTGTTACAACATGGCCGGGCCGTTTGATGTGACGTCACTGCTGGACTTGAACACATGCACAGAAAGAAAGTATTTGTTTACAAATGTAAGTCGGACTTTTCTACCACAGAGACTCACAATCACCCATTCAACCTCTGGTGCTTCTCCTTAAAAGAGATAAAAAAAGAAAAAAAAAAACTATTAGAACTATTACTATAGAACTCATAGTTAGCAGGTTATAGTGTTAAGTCTTTGAGTGATCGCCAAGAATAGAAAAGGTCTATAAAGGTCACAGAGTCCAGTCAAGAACCAAGAGTAAACATGCGCTCTGTTGTTATTCGAAGGCTGATTTGATATACATGCGATGTCATGTCCTAGTTCACCACGTTCAAATTACTAAGTTGGAAAAACATTTTCAAACGCAGTGGGGTGACCTTCAACAGCGAATGGGGTTTATGAGACATGGGAGTCAACTGGGGTTAGTATACAGCTATATCTGTAGCAGGACTGTTGTGGCTAACGTTAGCTCTGGTGTTTCCACCAGAACAGTTGTAGCTAACATAAGCTCAGGTGTCTGTACCTGTATTGTAGTAGCTAACTTAAGCTCAGGCTTTTGTACCAGGATTGTTGTAGTTATTGTTAGCTCTGGTGTCTGTACCAGGACTGTTGTAGCTAATGTTAGCTCTGATGTTTATACCAGTACTGTAGTAGCTAACTTTAGCTCTGGTGTTTGTACCAGGACTGATCAAGCTAACATTAGTCCTGAAGTGTATATCAGTGTGTCATAAAGTGGAGGACTCAACATTTTACACATTATTGTCCTGTACTTAATTAATCTCATCCCAGCCTAAGCAGCTTTATGTCTGAATACACCATCTATGACTTCAGACTTTACTGCTGGCATGTTGACAGCCTGAAGATGACATCACTGCAGGGTTACACTTTGGACTTTTCAGTTATTATCATGCATTGTCTGGTCTCTCACTGGGCTCAGGCTGCACAGTTGTCTTTGTAGTTCTTATAGTAAGAAAACCCATGTACACAGAATAATGACAATAGTTACAGCATTAATATACAACACGTCAGAAACTCGGAGGTAAGTCAGTAGTGTTATTGTTTTTATCTGCGTGGGTCAGTCGGACCGACACGCCGTCAGTGTACTGAGCGAGAGATCGGTGTTTATGTTGTATTTAGGAGTTTGAAATCTGCAACCAAGGTCATATTTGACTGGCAGCTGTGTCAGCTCACACTGGAGATATTCAATTCTCTGACCTTGTGCGGTTTGATTGTTTCTTTCTCGATCGTGCGTCCTGCCACGTTCAGGATGGAGCGTCTCATTAAGCTGCCTGCCCTCCACCCTCTAAACCTCCATAAATCCCCCTAAACTCCAGCCGTGGCAAATTATCCGACCAGCCGTG